GAAGCTCTTTGAAAACCAGCGTGTAATTTTTACTGGCACTGTCTCTACTCTGGTAGCTGAAGACATCTCTCTCTTAAGACTGCTAAGCAAAGGTAAATGAGCCAATGGCACACCTGAACTAATGCAGTTATATCTAGCATTTTATCAACAGATGTCTGTGCCCATGTTTTGCTGCATACCCAATGGGAGCTGTACAGCACAGGGCAGTTCAGCGACTTGCCAAAGTTCTCAAAGCAATTTAGTGGAAAAAATAGGAAGAGAAGCTGCAAATCCTTACTCTCCTCTCCTCCACTCCATTATTCCTTTTGGGGTCTGGATAGTTGCAAGATATCTGAAAGTCCGCTCACCTTGGTGAGTTGTTTGTAGATATATACAATGCTGCTCAGATTCCTCAACAAATAAATCTGTTCTGTCAGAGGTGAGAATATTTTGAATATATGAATATTTTTCTGTCAGCAATCTTTCTTTTACAACCATTGCTCCCTCATGTTGTGGAGATTGTTATTAGCTATTTGCTATTTTGAAATATTCCTTTTTATTGGTTGTAGCCTCATTTTTTCATCAAACTCCAGGATGTTTTTTTCTGACAGTAAAAATTCAAGAAGGCTATTGCATTTTCACTTCCATGAAAGCCATAGTATTTTCTAAGATTTTTTTTCTGAAGAGTATCCCCTCAAAAGTGCTAATAGTAAAGTAAGTAGTAAAGTAAATTATTTTTGACAAATAATTCAGCTATAGCCTTGTACTTGCTTCTGTCAAAGTCAGAGATGAAATGGAAGCTGGAATTTGCCTTGTCCTCTCATGCTTCTTTATACAGAAGACTCCTAGATGTGTCCCCATAGCAATCTGTACATAATTCCTGGAAAAGGACAATATGAGTGAAATAGTAACAATGTCTGTTCTCTTTCTTTTCTTCTTCTTTTTTTTCCTTACCATATGAGAGCACCATTTGTTCCAGAAGAACCTTACAATAGCATTAAACATTATATTTTTCAGAGAGAAGGGAAGATGTATTTTATTTTAGACTTTGTAGAAAATCTTACTTGTTTGGAAATACAAAACAAATTTTTTTTTTCCTTCTGCCCTCTAGTAATTCTGTTCAAAGGTGCTCCTTTGGGGAAATGACAGAGAGTTTACAGTGATGGTATCTCAGTTCATAGATAGGATATTTTCACCTGCAATTCCCTCAGAGCTGCAGCCTTTGACCTCTGGCTGTATCTATCAGTGGTGATGTGACAGTGACAGAATATTTTGCTAGATTTTGAATGATTCCTGGAGTTCACAACTTCTGTCCTTAGCAATAAAATGTAATATGACTGAGGTTCTCTTCCCCATGCCTCAGCTTTTCCTGTAGAAGTATCACTGAATAATTTTTCTTTGAGCCCTAAGGGGAAAAATCCCATTTTCAATTACTGTCGGACTGTTACTCCTAATAATGATATTCTGTTATTAATTTGTATTTACTGAAAAACAGGACTCAAAGATCTATGTTTCAGGGCAGTTGTTTCTTATAAGCATTTTTCCTTTATAAATCAAGAAGTCAATTAAATATGCTCATTTTTCATATTCTGACATTTTACGGTTTCATGATATTACAGTGTTTTACTAGGAAACACTGAGGAAAATGTCCTTTTGCAAATTGTATTATTTCTTTTCCCTTAAAAAATTTCTAACCATCTAATAATTTCAGTCATTCACCCTTGCAGTCTGATGACGCTACTGTATACACCTCTGTAATCAGAGCTTAAGCCAAGATGACCCTTGAGCATAAATCCTCTTTTTTCCGGGAGGACATACAGAAGGAAAAAAAAAAGTGGAAAATTCTGAATTTAGTTGAATTGCTTTTTTTTTTTCACTTTTCTGTTACGCACTTGGAGAAAAGAAAACCTCAAAAGGAGGTGATCTTTGATGAGATGCACAAAGCATCTTTCTCTGTTTTTTCCAACATCCATCCTTCCCTAGCAGTAAAGCCCAGTTTTCAGTTCACATCTTCAGTTTCCAGACAGAAAGATTCTTTTCTTGCAGGCTAGATTAAAGATTGGGAAACTAGGATTTATTGGGGTAGCTGTTTTCATTAGAGATAGGAAAGTGTTAATATGCCTGTACAATGCAATAAGACCAGGTAGATTGACCCACTCTGTACTATTGGGTCCAAAACTAAAGTCTCTAAATCCGTGGTTGGTAGCTCTCAGCTGGCTCAGAAAGGTAGTAAAATACGTGGTATTATTATTAAAATTTTGATGACAGCAGGTGTTAGGGTTTGGCAAGAAATACTGTAGATTTACCCTAAAATTTCAAGAACTATTGTTATATACAGTTCTGGCTACCCAAATTTTAAGAAAGAACTTGGAGCTAGACAGGCAGAGACAGTTACTACGATGACTAAAAAATGGCAAGCCTGTCACTTCAAAGGAGTTTTTAAGAGTTTGGTTTGTTTAATAGAGTCAAAAGGAAAGCTGAGAGGGCTGATTTCTTCTGTAAGTATGCGACTGGGGAAAATACAAGAGAGGGGGAAGACCTGAAGCTAAAGGACGGTGCTGACATAAGAACAAAGAGGTACAAGGTAGACAGGAATAAATTCAGACTGAAAATCAGAATACTTCTCTCCTTTGGAGTAGGAAAGGTCTGGAACATCCTTCCAAGTCACATACCCAGATAGCCATTTCACTAATTTATTAGCAGGTTTATATGATGTGAGTGTCTGCAATAAAAAAGACTACATTCATTGACCCACAAAGTCTATCCAAGCCTCCATTCCTAAAGCGTATCTTTCAGAAACCCATGCAATATTGCTTAGCTACTCCAGTAGTTCCCTTGTTAATTTGTTTTAGGGTTTAACTGTTTTTCCAGTTAGGAAACTGCATTTTATTGCAGAGTTGAAATGTGTGCAGCCATTCACCCATTGGACCTCACTGTGCCATTAGCTGCAAGATAAATTTCTGGGCTATTGGACATCTTTTCCGCCTGTGACTCCCAGCTACGGTGGTCAAGTCACTGCTTTGCTGCCTGTGCAGTGACGAGAGAAAACACTTTAAACACTGTGCAGCCTCCTGTCTTATTCTCTATATCAGTTGTGTGACCCTCCTTTAAGCTCATTTCTGTAAATGTGGGCACAAGACTTTAATCTTTCTGGCCTACAGTGCCAAGATATCTCTCGACTCCTATTTGCTATTCTAGGGTATTGCATTGAAAGTTGATGTTGAGGGAGTTTTTCTTTCTGGCTCCATAAATCCTTCTCTGTCTCACTGCCTTCCAGAACAGAATCTCCTCTCCAGTGAGCAGAGCTTGTGCTTGTCCAGGAGCGTCAACCTTCCACCTGGCTGCATTCAAAATAAATAAAATAAATAAAACACATCTTGCTACTTTTTAATTTAACTAGGCAATGCAGAGAATGTTATAATAATGACTTTCTCTCTTCATTATACAGTTGTCCATGAATCTTTGTATCAGTTTTATATAAACCATATCTTATCAGCAAAGGTTTTCTATTTTCCTGTAGATAACATTATTGGTTAGTATTCAATCAAGAATCAATTCCCAGCTCCTAATTGGACACCCTAATTTCCAATATCCTAATATGTAGCTCATAGTAGATACCTTTCCATGGACAAAAAATTTTAAGATCTGTCACCAACTTCTGTGCCATCTATGTTGTCCACAGTCAGTTCCATATAAAACAGGTTTAAATCAAAACATTGATTAGCAAGACAAATATCTTGAAAAAAATACATTTTAACATAGCCATCTTTATCAACTACACCTGTCATCCTGTCAAAAACAGATAAGAAGCTTGCTTGACAATACTGCCATTCCGGTACAGCATGGTGACCGGCATTAATGAGATTTTTGCTTCCAATTCTTTGTTGACAGAACCGTGGATTAACCGTTTGTTATTTTGCATAGGATTAATGTTACAGTAATTCACCTGTAGTACCCTAAGTAATTTCTTTTATCCTTTTTAAGTATTTGAACTACACTGGCAGTCCTTTGGAATTTCCCAATTTTCTGTATTTCATTTGTACAGAGTAAATACAACCAGATGAAAACTCTTTCATCTAGCAAGTTGCTAATTTTTTGTTACTGATTAACTTTCTTTGCCTGGCAAAGCAATATCAAATACTGAGCAATTCTTTACTGCATATAGGAGTTTCACTGTTAGGATGTCAACATCTGTTATTATTAGAAACAACAGAAATGTTGCTATTTGTCATATAAACACTCCATAAATGCCCACTTGTTCAAACCCAAAATAAAATACTTTTCACTCCTGAATATAAAAAATAAATATTTAGGGAGTAGTTTATCCTACTCTTCAATAAATTAAATGTGATAAAAATGGCATAGGTATCCATAGTGCTATATAAAAAATGATGTGTACCCATAACCATTTTTAGGTATGCTTTTAATCTATAAGCATTCAGTGAATTAATAATGCCTATGCAACAGTAGTACCTTTCTAGTACAGTGCTGTTCCTTCTCTCTTCTTTTCCTACCCCCAGTTTCAGGAAACAAATTATGATCATTAATATAGGAACATCCTCAACTCATGCTATTCTTTATGTTCCTAGCAGAAGTCTAGCGACATATATGTTCAATAGCAGATCTTTACATTACAGCTGCTTTTAATACCACTACACTTTGTGTTCTTTATCTGAAATATACATTTTCAGTATTTTTAGGTCATAAAACAGCGATGTATCATTATCATTTGTGTATTGTAAACAGCACGCAGTCCATAATTTCTAAACCAAAGAAATTTGCTTTTTGTTAATGTATGAAATAATGCATTGGGAAGCTGTGCTTATGAAACTTTATGATATCTGAATGTGTTTTGTTCAGAAACCTAAGTATGAGATATTTAAGCACACTGCACCTCTCTTTGATGCTTACTGATTTAAGGCAAATTACAGCAAAGTTCTTTTGTTGATAAAATAGGTCTGGTTTGGCATTCCTCTGATGTTTCCTTTTTTTTCTTTTTCTTCTTGTGTTTTTTTTAACAGGTGATTATCCAGCTCCTCGGGCTGTTCTAACTGGTCATGACCATGAAGTTGTCTGCGTGTCGGTCTGTGCAGAGCTGGGACTCGTTATCAGTGGTGCTAAAGGTCAGAAATGTTTTTATGATTTAAGTCTTAACATTTTTAGAGCCTTTTTAGTGGTACTTCTCAGTCTTCCCTCAAGCCACATATACTTTAATTATCCAAAGTCTTCTCTACTAAGATGTGTTGTAATTCTGGGGGAATCTGCAGCAGCTTACTCTGAACGTTATTACTTACTATCTGGACTGACTAGGTTTAGACACAAATTAAGTTGATCATTCCTTCCAACTGTCAGCCTGTGCTACTATTCCTCCCAGATCTGGAAGAGTAGTTGATAAAAATGTATACAATGATTCATCATGACATCTACTGATTTTGAAGAAACCTGTTGATAGAGACCTGTGTTTAGGGCAGGGCCAGCTCCAAGTTCTCCACCCTGATCTTAATTGAATGGCAGTTTGTAGGACTGACCTCGGTCTCCTCGGCAGGGTCAATTTGCTTAGTTTTGGATCTGTGGACAGCATTTCATCCACTAGTTTTTTTGGTAGTGGACTCCAAATAATGAAGAGTCTGAGAGTTTGTTGTTACCTCTCTTCTATTAAACTTTTTGAGCCATCTGTTCACACTTTCTCCCTGTTACTTATCTATGGAATCCAGAGTATCCAACAATTGCTAATACAAATGTTCAAAATACCTTTCGAAACGTGCAGCAGTCTCCTGTATAACTGGTAATCAACGTAAATAAAGCATCTGCCTCGATGAGTGTTTGCTTCATCTTTCCTTATTCGGTTTCTCTTTCATTTGTTCCATTTCACTTGTTCTGCCCACCTTCTCCTTTTCCCCTTAATTCCGTGCCCACTTTTCTTCCCCCACTGCCCTCTCTCGTTCAGCTTCTTTTCTTAACTTGGCAAACTGCATGCCTTTTTCTCTTTTCCTTTCCTATTTGCCTCCTCTTCCTCCCCCTTCTCTTACTTTCTTTTGTGCTACATTATCTCTTCTCCCTTTTTATTTCCTTTCTTTACATTATCCTTGTTCTTCCTTAAGGTTCTTCTTCCTTATATCTCTTTCTATCTCATTTCCACTCCACTCCTACATCCACATCCAGCTACTTGCTTTCTCTGTCTACAGTGATGCCTGTTTTATTCATCCCGGTGGATATCCTTGTACTCCTTTTTAAAAAGTTTGCTGCTTCTGAGGGTAAGAAGGATGTGATGCTTGTTCTGCCCGCTTTTGCTCACAGCTGAGCTCCTGGGTTATCGTCTTTTATACTGCCTCAGAGCTCAACATTTATTTTCAAAGCTGGGTGTGAAACTTCTGAGTAAAGGCATTTTTAACAGGAAATCCTAATGGGTCATTAACTCTCGTAATGACATACTTACATAACAGTTGTAGGCGAAGTCAAGACATTTATGAAAAAAATGTACAGTGATGCTGAACCTGAAGTTTTTTCTTGCAGCACTGCTATTTCTTATCTTTTAAGGCAGCTATATATACTCTTACTGCCATAATAGGGTACCCTTTCCAGCTATCTTTTTGCAAATTTCCTCTTATTAAAATAGAATCATAGAATTCATAGAATTTTTTTGGCTCTTATTAAAATAGCTGGAATCTGTACTCAGTTATCTTTTGCTTCATTAAGTATGTGATGCTTTGGTAACTATATATTTTTAGAGGTAAAGGCTGCTGGACAACCAAAGACTTTTATATCAAATCCAGAATATATTTGTAATTGATCCAGAGAAATGGAAGCCCAGTCTGTCCCCTGAGTTACTCTTCTCCTGTTCTTCCTTTTCAAACTCTCTTCTATATATAAATGGAGAGAGAAAATCCCTTTTTTATTGCTGTTTTCCAGCAGATGCCTGTTTTAAAGCTTCCTTTTCAGTTTCTGTCCTTCCCGGTCCCTTCCCAGTTTCTTAGATTGCATTTCACGGCAGTGCTGCATTGCTCTGCCTTCCTGCCTGGGCGCTGCCTGTGCTCCCTCGTGGGGAGGCTGCCCCTCCGGAGCTGGCTGTGGCATTGCCATAACACACGCAGCGTGCCAGAGAACCTGCTGAGGCAGGGAGACAGCACATTTAGGACTCCTCTGAGAAAAATCCTGTGCATCAGGTTGATGTTTGCATGTTCTTATCCAGCAAACCCAAAAAAGAGCGGTCAGTCTGTATGTCTTTGCAGAAGCATCCTAAATCAGAGGATTTTCTTTGTGTCTTTTCATGTCCTTGACCAATCAGCTAGCCAAGGTAGTGGGAGTTTGTCAGTGAGCTTAAATATGAAGGTATTACACTTGTGAAAAATCTAACGTGGTAATTACTCTAAAGGTGGAGGCATCACTTCTTATAACATTCTGGCACTTCAGTATTTCCAAAGCCAATACTCAACTATTTGAGAAAATCAGTTAATTCCGTTGCAGTTGTATCCCAGGGAGCCAGTCAGGTTTGGGGTCTCTCTGCATAAGGCTTTATGCAAACAGAGATAAAAACCTGTACCGGAGGCCTCACAGGCAAATGTGCTGATGCTGTGATTCATTCTACCTGGGCAAACCCAGGTGCTGTGTGATTTTCAGAGAAGTTAGAAGGGCTTAACGTGAGGTGGCTGAGTCTGCCAGTATGAATTTACTTTCAGGGTCATGAGCCAGTTGTATAAGGAAGAGATTACTGTGCTGTTCAGGAGTATCCTGTGATTCATAAAAGAAAACATTTAGTATTTACCGTGACTCATTACATTTATCACAGAAGAGACTCTCTTTCTTAGTAGGAATACAGATCTCACTTTCAAAAGAGCTTTTCTCATAGATCTTGAAATGAAAATAGCCTAGTGTTGCATCTTAAAATGTACATTGTAGATTTCATAGCTGGTTTTTTCTTTCATAAGCAGTAATAAAAAAACATTAAAATCTCACATTAAAATCTCTCTGGAGTAAATGCAGTTATAGTGTAGTCTCCTAAAAGCTCTTACCATCCAGATATCATAGTAACTCTGTTGGCTGTCAGATGACACCCATTGTTAAAACAATTCAGGACTGAAATCTGTGCATATAACACATTCATTGGGGGAGAGGACCTACAGGAACTGCCATTGTCTATAGGAAAAATATGCAGTGATACGATTCTATGCCTTCTGGGAGTTGCTCCTACTAGTCACTGATAGGGCCCCATCTGTTTAATGTGAATGGGCAGGCTAAAGAGAGTTCATGTTGTTGGAGGAAAGGAGTAAGACTGAGGCTTCCGAATGCTTGGAAAGAGGAAAGCAGATTTTAGAAGACAGATCAATGAAAACTCCTACCATTTTAAGTAAATAATAAACTACTACTTTTAGGCATGTTGTATCTATTTTCTTAATATGCTAGCTCTTGCATTTCCTTTTCTGTTGCATACTTTAAATTCTTTAAGCAAACATTGCATCTTCTTATATCTGTGCAGGACTAAAGTGATCTAAAGTGTATTATGCATTGCCTCTGTGCACAGTGTGTATAGTTTGTATAAGCAGCAAATATACGATGTATTATGTTTTCATATACAGAAGGTCCTTGTCTGGTACACACAATTACTGGAGATTTGCTGAGAGCCCTGGAAGGAACAGAAAACTGCTTGTATCCTCGCTTAATTTCAGTGTCTAGTGAAGGTCACTGCATCATCTACTATGAACGAGGACGGGTCAGCAATTTCAGCATTAATGGCAAACTCTTAGCTCAGATGGAGATCAATGATTCAACCAGGGTAAATCTAAATTTACCTATCAATGATTCAACCAGGGTAAATCTAAATGCAAACAAACATTTGTTGTGTCTCGCCTTTATTTATTAAAATAAATTGAATTTATTTGCAGTGTTGTTTAAAGGAAATCACATATGTAAAATTGCCGCCTCCTGGATAAGTCATATGCAAACACAAACCCTCTCATCTCCATCTCCACTCCAAATGCGTTAATGCACTTGAGCTTTTCCAGAATAAATAAGAACAAATTGTTTATGATCCCACACGATTCCTGGAATTTTTGTTTGGAATTAAATTTTGGTGGGAAATACATCTTTAAAACAAAATGTTCTGAAAAGAGTCCATTCTTCATTTATTAGCCAAGACATGAATTTGTGCCTTTAGGGCTCTGCTCTGTCACCAGCACTTGAAGCAGCATTAGGAATGCAGATCGCTGCTCTGCTTTAAGTGTTAGTGATGGCACTGAGTATTGTAGGACAAACATCGAAATGTTATGTGCTGAACTCAAGTCTTGGCAGATTCAGTTAAAGAGCTTTTTGGTTATGTATCGTGTTTAAAACCACACAATTGTTTTATTTAAAATTTGGAGATCCAAAATTTGTTGGTTTCCTTTTTGATTGGGGAGAAAGAGGAGTGGGACCCTTTTTCTTCAAATTTAAACTGGGCAGAGCAAAAGAAATGCTTATAAGTTGATTAAATTTTTGTAATATTGACCCGCTTCCAAAAGCTAACTGCGTGCTTGGGTTTTGTCTTTTTCTCCTGAAGGCCATCCTCCTGAGCAGCGATGGGCAGAACCTGGTAACAGGGGGAGACAACGGTGTAGTGGAAGTATGGCAGGCCTGTGACTTCAAGCAGCTCTATATTTACCCTGGCTGTGATGCTGGCATAAGAGCTATGGATCTGTCTCATGATCAGAGGTGAGTTTGTCATTAGTATTTCTATGTAAATGGTAAAATTATGCAAGGTATACATCTCCATGAACTTTAAGGTATGAATTTATTGTATGCACTCGTTAACAGGATATGTTACAAAACCATTACCCTAGTTGTTACCTTGTTGATTTATCTGACTCAGCATTTTTTCTGATTCTTGAGTCTCATAGCGCAAGCGCTTAACATTAAGGTGAGGTCTTATATCAATAAAGTCAGTGAGCCACAGACTCAGCTAGCAAAATATGAGTAAAATTACATCAACTTAAGAACATAGGAACAGTGCAGTAGTGCCTGTTAACCAATACCTGAAAACAAATTACAAAAGTTTGTGGTACATTTCTGATTTTCAGCTATGTAGAGCTCGAGAACTTCTTGGGGCTGCATCTAGACTGTAATGTGTAATATTATCAGTGGCTCTATCCAGGAGCGAGTGTGGTCCTTTCCTTTGATCTTCTTGAGCAATGGAGATGCAGTGTACAAGCTTAGATTTTTGCAGTCACTGCTGTGGCACTAAAATGCACACTGTAAATGTAAAAGATATATGAACCTGGTCCCTCAGTCTTCTATTGTAATGTGATTATAATGTAAGCCTGTATGTTGCATTTATGCAGGGTTATGAGTGGATTTGCTGTTTACGTCATGCATCAGTCTTGTATTTCTTATTAATGTACAAACTCATGAGATGCAACGAATTCATAGGGTATTAGAAAAATCATACAGCATTCATTTCAGTTTATTTTTCTTACACTTTTCAGCATTGCTATGCTATGTACCCATTTTGTAAAGCAACAAAAATACCTATGAACAAAATACGTACCTAATTTACTCATGTCTGAGTGGATCACTTGAAACAAGTTTTTTGTCTCAAACTAGTCTAATTGAAACTAACTTACTGGAAGAGGCCTATTCGCTTCTGGAGCTTTGCCAGTTTATGCATACAGTACTGTGCTCTGTTTGAAGAGATTTATTGACACTGCAAAAAATTTCAGGTAGCCTATTTTCTCTATCCCTGATTGTAATACCAGTCTGGGAAGCCCCAGCTGTGCAAAGTACTTTAAGTACCTGCTTAGCTTTAGTCACATAATGAATCAGAGAATGGCTTTTGTATGATTTGATAGAAGTGGTGATAGATATCTAATCCAATTTTAAAACTCAGCTACCAGAATTAGAACATATGTGATAACTGGAAAATCACCTCAACTATTGCCACCAGAAAAATGTAAATATGGGGCTACATTTCAATATGAAGCTTTTTAGGAGTACCAAGGTGTGATCAGCTTATGATTAGGGGATCAGTTCAGTTATTTTCGCAGAGGCATCTTATTCTGTCTGGAAGGCCCTAGGATATCCAGCTGATCCCAGCTGCAGCCCCAAGTGCAGAGTGGTCCACAGGTCCTCTGTCCCAGCCAATGTAGACATGTCAGCCATCCTGGGGCACCTCCAGTGGCACGAGGTGCCTAAAATTAGGCAGCTGGGTTCTAAAACACCTGAATGAAAGTGTTTTGGCATAGATGTCTTCATGTGATCTACGGGAATAAGCTCCCATAATAACCGTGGCAATTTCCTTGCTACAGCCTGTGGAGTCTAAAGAAAAATTAAGCTCACCCTGAAGTACATACACAGTGACCTGTAGAGAGTTGGTCTCAGGCTGCACTGAGGGTGCTGATTAGGGCCTAATTCGGTTGCCTACCCATAGCCAGTTAGTACTGTTTGAGATACCTCAGAGGTCTGAGTACCTGGGGTGGCACATATGACAAAGGACCTAGTGAAGACCCACAGCCTTCTGGAGAGGCAGCTGGAGGCAAAGGAGGATATGCGAGAGCATCTCAAATGGCATGGTGCTTTTACCTATGTGAAGGCGACTGAATGGATCTCTAGATCTCCCTTGACCATAATGGGAACATGGACACATAGGTGTCATATGTCGACACCTAAACGTAGTGTCCCCATTGCAAACGGAATCCCACCCATGAGCTTAATCTTCAGACAGTGTTGCAAACAGTGTGTCATTCTTTTAGCTTTTTTACTGTTTATGATAAACCGTTGCTTGAGAAGGTAAAAGAGGATTAACAGGACCATCTTTTCTATCTTCTTCAGAACTCTGATTACTGGCATGGCTTCTGGCAGCATCGTAGCTTTTAATATAGATTTTAACCGGTGGCATTATGAACATCAGAACAGATACTGAAGCGGAATGAAGAACTGAAAGCCCAGGTAAAGCTGAGAGCACAAGTGCTGCAATGAAAGGTGTAGTCTCTGGTGGAAAACCACGTCTGCATTGACCTCCGTTGTACATTCCATTACACCCAGCAATAGCTGTACATTGTAGTCAGCAACCATTTTACTTTGTGTGTTTTTTCACAACTGAACACCAGCTGCTGAAAAGCAAGCTTGTATCATGTAAATTATATGAATTAGGAGATGTTTTGGTAATTATTTCATATATCTTTGTTTATTGAGAAAAGGTAGTAGGATGCGCCACAAGAGACTTTTGAAAATTCTGGGGAACCTTGTGTCCAGTTGTTTCAATGTTTAGGCTTTGAACCTAACATGCATCCCATCTCCAGCCTCTTTTCAAGCTGAGATAAAAAAAATACGTTTGATACTTTGTACATCAGATGCACATCTTAACTTTAAAGGGATACTTTTGTAAAAGTAAAACCTTGTATAAAGAACAAAACTGTTTCTTAATTTTATTGTGGAGTTACAACTTGCATGTACTTTAAACCTGATGTCTTGAAGGAACAGGTGGTGCATTCACACAAATCAAACTGGAGATCTGCCTAAGGGTACAGCTTGTGTTAAAGGGTTGAATTTGGGCGCAAACAGTAATTTTGACATTTCCACCAACACATGTTTTTCACTTTTTGAATCTAAACTTTACCCCTCTTAAGTGGAGTTCTGGTCATGAAGTATTTGGATAAAAAGCCATCATTTGCCATGTTTATACTTTATACGACAGAAATTAAATTCCTTCCTTTTAAATTCAAAGACTAGATAGAAAGGAAACAAAGAGGGAAGTTCAGTTTAATGCTTTGTAATGCTTAATGACTCCCAATACAGACAAAGTGCTATACTTCTGGATTATTAACATTTGCCATACAAATCATGGGCAAGGGAGCCCCCAGTGATTTTTTCCCTTATTTTTCCTCTGAGCAGCTTGGTTTATTTGACAGCCTTAGCTTCATTGTAAAGGTGACTGAGGTTATTCTTTTTGGTTCTTCTGAAAATCTCACTGAAGCCACTCAGACTAAGGCACTTCATGTTTTTCAATACTGCAATGATAACTATCATCGGAATAATTTTTCTGCACATTGTACTGATCAAATTACACACCCAGGGGTATATACACTTTAATTCATGTTTCTTCTTTGTATATTTGGTGACTGTATTGTCATAGATGTACATATTGTGTCGGTAGGGCTATGAGGCATGTAACAGGAATGTAATTTTCTCAGAATTTACACTCACTTGCAGTCATTTATTTAAAAAGATAATGGATTCTTTGTATTGGCACTTTGCACCAGAAACATATCATTATTTATTGATGTGATTACTTATTTGTTATCCACCTTGTATTAGTAAGTTTAGCACTGAATTTCCTTCTTCATTGATGTTTGTATTTATAAGATTCTGAATCATGGGGATCAACGTAATGATTAAGTTATTCATCACCCGTCTGTAAGCAATATCTTGAGTTTGTAGCTTAGAATTGGGAGACTATTGAACATCTGGAAGACAAGTTCATTTCATCTTGAGATCATGGTGAAATATTTTGGATATATAAATTCCTTAAGCTATTGTAACCATGTTTTATTGCAAAGATGTAAAATATGCCAGATGTGTGTGAGTTGGAAATCAAAAAGAAAAATAAAATATGCAAAGAATTCAGTGATTGTTCTTCATTTCAATGAACTTTTCATCAAAACATTCACATTATCAGTAGGAACAATTATTTTAAGAAATCCTCTCTTACACGCTATATATATGCCAAAAATTATGCATGCCTGGGTGGTTATATTTCCTGGGGTCTCAGGAAATAAAACAGAGGTTACAGAGTGTGTTTTGCAACTCTTTTGATTGTCAGTACATGAAGAGAAGCAACTAAAGATACTTTGATCAGCAGAAGTGAAAAATCAAAGCCTTTAAGGGATGTTTAGGATCCTTGTGAACAGGCAATAATGTTGTATAATAGACGTCGCAGAAAGCAAAGATCTGATGAGAGCCATTATGGGTATCTCTCAATATCTGATAAGATGGAATTAATTTCATCTTATTTTGGACATTGAAAGTTAGATATCTACACTCCTGCATAGCAGAACAAAACAGGTGGGATAAATTGCCTTTTGGAAATGCTGAGGTCCCTACAAAGATTATAGCAAGTAAGTGGAGATAGATAGTTATCTAAATGTCAGATGTCTAATTTAAGGTAGCAATGGTAAGCAAAATACTTTCCTCATAATTAGAAAACTCCCGATTGATTAAAAAGCAGAATAACAGCCAACACTTCAATTTGTTGCCCCACTCATTGTTCTTTAAACGATTATCAAAATGAACTATAGCCAATATTTGAGAACCTTACTAGAATACAGTATACATTTTAGCAGATATCTATTTATATCAATCAGCTTTTGAAGTGGATAGCCTAACTTGATTGTTTTGGGGCTGGAGGAGGGATGGAGGAGGAGATGAGGGGATTGGTATGTTAATAGTGGCATGTGAAACAGTTCATTGATATGTCGCAACCTCCATTCCATTATTATACAAATATCACCCCTAATTTCATATTTTATTCAACAAAACAAAAAAAATGCACCATTGCAGTTAAACCAAAAATTAGTATTACTATTATCTTAATTAATACTGTTGTTTGCATGAAGTCTCTCAACATTATGTGGAGTACAATTTAGTCACAAATCAGAAGTTTTTGTGCCCAAAAAAATTTGTATTGGATGTATTGGGATGTATGTATTGTACATATGTTGTACATATGTATGATGTATGTATGTATGTGTGTACATGTATGTATGTATGTATTGTATGTATGCAATACAAATATGTATTGCATTCATAGGTAGAGGTATCCAAACAAGTCAGACTCATAACAGTAGTAGCAGTAGTAGTAGTAGTAGTAGTAGTAGTAGTAGTAGTAATGTGCCATCTTCATTATGGTTTAAGTTATAAAAATGGATTTTCCACAAAGGCCCAGGACAAGGAGAATGTATTAACAGGCTGGTGTAGTCACATAGACCAGCTTGATATAGTTTTTGTGGTGAAACACCACTGTTGCCTTTTACTCTCTATTTAATTCATATTTTTTAAGAAAAAAAAAGTTATGATTGCACCAGGATATTTAAATTCCTTTGTTGTTTTTGTTGATTTGTGTTAATTACATTAGTATGCATCTATCTATCTGTTGCAGGGTCTCTTAATGTAAAAAGACAGTATACACAGCTCTCCAATTTATGTCACAAGATTTTTCCAAAGCTTCAACTGCCCCATTTCTGTCACACAGTAAAGCTGGGCTGACTCGCCTTTCTTCTGTATAGAAATGAGAGTTACTGATTCCAGGAGTCTCTGAGAGCTGCCTGTGGAAAATGAAGCAGCTTTGACCAAACCAGTTAAAAGCGACCAATCTCTCAGCTGAGGGAGATGCAGCATTAAGGATACAACTGTGTCACTAAAATATACCTACAATGAAAATAATGCACAGTTATTGGCTGTGCTCCTGCCTAGGCAGTCCTACTTTAAGAATCGGACTATAAGCTAACGTCATACTGGAAGGATGATGCAACAGCTATGAGGCTTATTCCTTGACCAGATCCTACCACTGTTGAGGAGGATGCTGCTTTCTCTATAAGAGCAACAATAAAAGACAGGCTGCTGCATTTTAACCTAAGGGAAGACTGGTTAGGCTCAATTTACTGGAAGAGCCTCGGATAAATAATGATTATGTTGATAGAGAATCTCATGGGCTGTGCTTGTAGAGCTAAAAATGCTGCCTCTGAACAACAGTTGTGACGAATACTTGTTATAATATAGTGCATCAACCCTGCTGACAAGCAAGCAGGATGTTTGAAGCAAGCCTTGTGCTGCCAGGGATAAAAGCATTTGAAGCAGACACAGGGAGCGAAGGGCTGACTTCTGATAACAGCAAGAGAACCAACTCCTGATACAACATGTCTAGTACATACAAATATTTATTTTGGAGACTTCTAGCTGGAGTTTATGCTCACATTTTCCAAGGGTTTAGTTGTGGACTGGTTTTATTTAGGCTTGTGTGTGTGTGTGTGCATTACTTGCAAACACTAAAGATGCATGGACTAAAACTTAAGCTGGTATTTAAAGAAGGAAAGAAGTACTGGAAATTTATATGACTATGCAATACAGTACAGTTTATAGACTCTCTAACCCTGGTGATTAGTTTTGCAATATCTACAGTTAAGTTGCAAGATCTGCAACCGACAAGAAAAACAAGTCTGGAGATTGCTTTCTTGTAAAATTTATAAGCTGTGGCCATATAATTAGTTTACAGAGAGATTTACTTAGATGAAAATCTGCCAAACAGCTGACTCAGTTTATGGGTCCCTCTATGGTGACATCATGCCTTAACAGCACTACAGCTCCGCATCATTAGTTAGAAGTAAGTCCTTTCTCAATTGCACCCCATTTGCACAAATAAGGACCTGGGTAGCTAACGTGGGTACCTACGTGCAAAATTCGGAGCCTGGACTGTTTTTTATTCATGAAAGGATTGGCATAAGGGCTCTGTGTGCCTAAGGGTGCCACAAATGCCAAGCTACCTTCAGCCTAGCGTTCCTAACATCAAGCAGAGAACATGCTTTTATGTACAAAACTAGATAGGAAAAGAAAATCTCCTCTGGTGCCAGAAGATTACAGGCAACTAAAAGCTATCAGCAACAGTGGATTTGACTTAAAAGTTTCATGTCTGTTTATACTTTGAAAAGACTTAGTCTTGGCAGGATGCTGCAATGACCAAGCCCTGTGGCAAAGCTAATCCCAGTATCATAGCTGTGCAAATTTAAGAATGATGGATGCACTTAGTTTCCCTCACTGTGTAGCAGAACTAGTGATTGCCAGAAAAGGCAGCAGAACAATTGAAAGTGGTCTTTCAGTCTCGCTGTAACATATAAATCCCATGCCCATGGCTGTTCAGATACATTAGTTTGTACAGAGCTATCAAATAGGAAATAAAATAGTGCCTGGTGGCTGGTGTCCCTGCACGCACATCTTTTCAAATAATAGTAATAGAAAAAAGAAACTGCTTCAGTAGGAAAGCAGCAGGACTCTGGGAAGGGGCCATGGGCTTGGAGAAAAGTCAGAGGGGGACAGATTTCCTCTTCAACAAAACGCTTGGTCCATTTCTTCCGAACAAGCAGATTGTCCCAGCTCCGCTCTTGCAATGTCCCTTCCTTCTCCTTTTCCTCTGCTAAACCCTTCTGTCCTCCTTGTTTTAACTTGCCATGAAGAGCAGGCTGTAAGTTGGACTTTTCTCTATCCTGCAACCATGTCCCTCCTGGTACCCATCACGTGCCCTCACTCCCCCTAACTGCCAGGGAGAACTAAAGCAGATTCAACGTAAAGCACATGCATGTGAGGCTCCAGAAGACCCATACAAATCTCTTCACCAAGCTCCTTGCTGTCCCAGTGTGAGTTGCAGGAGGTAAAAACCTGAAATGAAAAGGGGATCCTATCTTTCAGCTGTCTATTCGAGCAGAACCAGTGGTCATATGGGAGTATTATTCTCCTAGTAATTAACACAGGTCAGGGCCCTTCTCTGACCCAAAAGTAAGTGGCATGACAGCCTCTAGCCATGCCTCCAGACTCCCTGGGACCAGCCCTTAACCCATCTTAGCCCATGCACACTGCACAGCATTGTTCAGAGAGTGATAGGTTAAAGGCGTGCCAGTGACACTGTGCAGATGAGCACAGCACAGTATCCAAGCCTCCACCTTTCATTGCTCAAGTCGCTAGATGTAGCCAAGACACCTACAAGGAGTCCCTTGGGCTCCATGATCATCAGCCTATCAACGATATCACACAGTCATGACAGATGGGGCTTGGGACTCAGTAATAACTCCCAGCCACAAATTTATGCACAAGACCACTCTATCCTGTTTGAGCACTACACCTTAAGACTACAGCTTTTGGATCACTGACTACAGCTATTGCAATAACTTACATGAAAGGTGCTGCACTATACCAGCTACTAGGAGGAAAATCAGCTCTATCCCAGCTGAAATCAGGACAGGTGCTCAGCTCATTAAGACCTTAATGCTTTTTGGCACGCTCAGACTCACGTTCTCCTTGCATGCTGCCTTATGTATACCTTTACATGAGGGAACATCAATATTTCCTGGAAAGAGCATCTGCTTGCTCTGTAGCCCTTAAGAGGTATGTGGTAGGGCTTCTCCTTGGCCATTCCTCCATGAAGCTCAGTGACACCAGCTTCAGATCCATAAAACCAGGTACCTTGGAAAGAGGTAATAAACTACCATCACCGTTGCTATAGCTTCCTCTGTTGCCAGAACCTCATTACAGAGGCTTATGCCCTAACTTGATAAGTCCCTCAATGGTAAGAACTTATCTTGTGGGAGATAAGCCTGCTATCCAGACACCTACTGCAACACTTATGAATGTCAGGTGGGAAGGATTCAGCTGGGACATGAAACTCCAGACCTGTAATGAATGAATATGGATCTTGTGCAGAAGCTGGCTACAGATAGCGTACTCACGTACACCTCATTCCATGCAGGCTGGGATTTGTGTCCCAAGGGGTGCTGATCCTTCTTCACTGATGGATGATCTGGCCAGTACACTAGTCAGGAATACCATCTGAGTTCCATGTCAGTCCATAATGAATG